ATGGAGAACCTCATCATTGCTCCCGTGATGTTCCCACCAGACATTGGCAATGCTTCAGATGCACCGGTGTTAAAATACAAAAGTCGATTGACATCTTCCGCTCGGATATGCCAATTCTCGCAACCGTAGGGCAAGACACTACAAACCTCAATGATGTATACTCTTCCTTTAAGGAATAGGAAAGTGTTTCGTAGGTTGGTTAAGCTCCTCTAGCTTTTGCTATTCGCGTTATGATTTCCTCTCCAACGTTACCTCTGTCTGCCATCAAGCTTTCGAAGTACTTAAAGCTCTCATTTACTTCCAGCTGAGCAACAGAAAGAGTGAATGTAGGTACGGACTCCAGCAAGTCTTCAACAAGCACTTTGCACTTGGGTGGTGCAAAGTACATACCATACCTGGATGTCTGTATCGCCAAGTGGTTTATAGCGTGTTGGACTGCCTGTGCATTGTCAACCAGCAAAGTGATGTCATCGTTATATGCTAAATCAAGTACTCTGTTCCCTGGGAGGAGTGTGACTCCGCCGTTGGTTGAATCGGACAGTACATTTTGCAGAATATCCTCTACGACAGAGTTTAAAAGAGATGGGAATATAGAACAGCCTTGCTGAAATCCACTGGAGACGGCCAAGAGTGACGAAGGCTGTCCATAGGCCCAAACACAACCTGATTTACTACAGTACAACTCCTTGAGGATCGAGAAAACGCGACGGTGAGTGAACAGTTGTTTTCGGATATTCCCAGTCGCGCTCTTAAATATCACATAGTGAAAAATGCCTACATAATGATAGCCATTGACTCAGTTTAAGGTAATTGATCGGAGGCAGAGAGTAGAGGATCGACACATGCTTCTCTAGTGCTCTACTTTTCATCAAACAGTTCCATAGTGTGGCACTATTGATAAAGTCGAAGACTGCTAGAATGTCCAGGAACACATTGATCGTTGATCTTTGATACACATTACTTTACTTTGGCAGGTGTTGAGGGTGAAGATTCGATAGATGCATCCAAGACCGGTACGAAACCTAGCCTGTTCCTCACGCATATTGTCCAGTCAACTGAGAATGGGAGCCAACAAATTTGACGCATTGGAGTCAGGCTTATACCCCTATGACGCATTCACCTCGCGGGCTCTTTTTAAAGATAGGGACGACAATGGATTCCCCATGAGGAGGGTACCTGCTCAATGTACTAAACTTTTAGAAAAAGAGTTGCCAATTCTCTAACAAGCTTCATTCAAGCATCTTTGAATATAACTGCGAAAAGGCTGTCAGAGCTCGGGGTGTTTTGTAACGTCCCAAAGCGTAGATGTTCTTACAGATTTCCGCCTCGGAACTTGGGTCTTTTGAGACAGATCATGAGTCGTGTGTCAGAGAGCTGTGCGAGAAACTGACACTGGTGGCCAGTTAAACTGTGCCTCGAAGTGCTCCTCCCAGCATGTAAGACTGCTGTTGATTGTGAATGGTTGAGCCGTCAGCTTCGCAGATTGTTTCGCTAACACTCAAGGCTTCCTACCGGTGACCCGAATGAGCTGGAAAAGCTTACGGAAATTTCCCATGGCGGCACGCACCATCCATGCGTGTTGAGCCCACCAGAATACGCGGTCTCTGCGTAAGCTTGCATTATTTCGCTTCTCGTTAAAGTCCCGTTTCATTATGCTTGCTTCCGGTTGGGACTGATAGACATGCGTCGAGAAGGAGCTGAGACTCAGCGGAGATACAGGGTGTCATGATGCGACGTGTCAGACTACTAATATCTAAGCCAGCGGAATGCAGAGCATTCTTGATTAACGATCAGTGCTAATTGGTGTTATCGGGTAGGGTTGGTTCTAGCTTTTCAGCTAGTGCGTTTTGAAAGACATTTAGAAAAGCTGGTTTGGACAACTTATCGCAATTTAACGGTCGTTATATTTTACGATTGTAACGCACACCAAAGCACATGGACATCTTAGCGCAAACTAATGCTTGGTCAGATTCGACGGTAGTGCTCCAGTACGACCGGCAGTCTTGTATGCAGCCCCGCCATTTGTGGCTTAGCGAGGTCGTCGATCTGCGTCCATCTCTGATTCGAGGATGGCGGACAACGAGTAGAGTAACGGCGGTTGGAGTGACTGAAGTTCGTAGTGGCAAAGGATAGGCGGTGGTCGGTAAATAGAGCCAACAGCCGTTTCCCGTTCTCCGATCGAAAGGAATTTAATCCGGAAGGGCTTCCTAGATGAGCCTCTCTTGTAGTCATTCAACCTACTCTAGAATTCACATCTCTTTCTAAAATCACGATATCAGTCCTACTCGATTTACGCATGAGGTCGTTTACTTTTGGTAGAATTCATCTTTAGCTACATCTGGGCAGTAGTCTGTTGGAGCGTACGCTGACATGACAAACAAGCTTCGTCTATTGGGGCGACGGCTGCTTACTTTACACAAACATCTGAGTCTCACTACGCACAGCTTACTTTCGACTGGGATAAAATCCAGGAGCGCGGCTTCAGTCCTCTCACTGGGAGCCACACTGATGCCAACAAGACCGGAAGCCGCAGTCTCACGGTCCCCAGGGAAGTGTAAGTGAAAATTCGCGGATTGGTTAAATGGTGTAGCTAAAGTCTTGAGTGCAAGTTTTTTGTTTACACTACATATCGATGTTTGGGGTCTAGAGCAAACAAACCAGATACGCTGATTCTAATATAAATACATGAATGTATCTAGTTTGAATCGACACCGAGGGCGATAAAGATTTTCATCTGGTGGACGATTTGATGGGAATTGGACGATCGCCGAGGTACAACACGAGAAAACACTGGTAGAATTTCCACTTGCGACCGTACTATTAATCCAATTGTCTGAAGAACCAGAGAAAGATGGTGTGTGAGGGGGGGGGAGTGAAGGATAAATTGGGAAGGCTGGACAAACGTTAGGGTGTTTACGGCGTAGAACATTTTGCGCCGAATGAAGGAAATCTAGAAGGCAGAGTCGTAAGAGCAGGAAAGTTCGTGGTTCTTTGTTGTCGAATATTGTACTGTCCCATCGCCTGGAATAGAGTAAACCTTTTTAGAGAATGCACCCTAGCCTTTGCGCAAAAAGCGCTGACCGCAAGGCAGCAATGATGTTCCGGATGAGCTGGTAGTCAGTTTTTGGTTCATTTACCTTTTCTGGAAAACCTTATCTTTCAATGGATCCCGACAAGGGACAATAGCCATATTTAGTGGCGGGTCACATTCGTCTTTTTCTTTTATAAACATTATTTTACCGTGATTTGTTTGGCACAACCTGAATTCAGGCGTGTGAAAATAAATGAATATAATACCCTCACTCCGTCGCAGCGGCGCCCATAGATAGGTATGGTGTTTTATGTGGAGAACCCATGTCAGTAGGTTAAACCATCTAATATCTGAGTGCTGATTGTCCACGAAGGTTTATTCGGGGGCCTAAGCTCATCTCATTCACGGTCAACCGCAAAATGGCATTCACTCCCCCATTCGCAACCTGGGGACGCGCTCGGTAGTAAACAGCTCTGCTTCTCCGAGACTCTTGGTCGATATCTCGATAGTGTTAGCTAGAGAACAATGTTAACAGTTGAATTTCTGAAATCCAATTGGGTTATTAGTAGATCACGAAACAGTAGTGGTTGTAGTCAGTAAAGTGGCCTTAGAAGCACTGTGCACCACTGGAGCTTTAGGCGCAATAATCCTAGTTCTGTTCATTTCAATTGAATTTGGTTTTTTTAAAATCCAGTAAGTGATTTTTCTGGGGGACATTTGTTGGAAACTTCAGCGGCGGGGGGAGGGGAGGCATAGACGGAAAATACATGAATAAATGGGTGACCCTAAAAAGATTCCACGTACCATAATGGTCTTCTTTCTTCCAGTTTAGGGTCTAGGAGATTCCGTAGGTGATTGGTCGGAAACATTGAAGGAAACGGCAGCGAACAAATAGTAGTGGTGCTCTTGTTGTTGTTTCTTTCCCATCAGGTAGGGATGCATGAATTAGCATGTATGCGCTCAGTTTGATTAATCACTTTCTGTTCTCATTCACCTCCCTAAAAGCGCCCTCATCGTGTTAGACTTTTGTACTTTTCATACATTGTGACGGATCATAGAAATTTGCTTCACTGTATTTCGCAATAAGAAGGTGATATCGAGGATAACCCTAACGTCCAGAGATACTGTTAAAGTCATAATACAATGCGGTAACGTTTCCCATAGATTCAATGTTCTGATCTCGTTTTGAAGAACCTAAGCTCGTCGGTAGTGAGAAAAGCGGAGAGATGGGGAACATTCTACTAGGAAGCTTATGTGGGGGTCAACAAGGACTGGAAGACGATTGTACCGAATCTTGACAGAAACGGACTCGTAATGCGAACTGATTACGGTACACCGGCTAAATGAAGTTTCTCGGAGAACTAGAGAATCACAGTTTTACTAGTCATCTAAATAAATGTAAATGTCTTTTTAATTCCTCTTCTATTTGTTGAATATAAAAATCTACAGTCAACATTCTATCAATTATGTACAACAATCAGTAAATTTTTAATTTTGTATGGTACTCTAACTGTTTTTCCTTCTTATACTTGCCTTCAGATTTTTACACAGCAACATTTACATTCCGCGAAATATGTTTTTGTTGTGGTTTCTGACTGCCGGTATGTGTTACTAATTTGCCGAGTAATCAGCATCTGTCGTACTCAACAGCTTGGATTTTTGAGCCCAGTCATGCAGTGTGTGTTGTGCCTCAAACCTACATCAAAACTATTTTTTCTCTTGAGAGTGGAAAAGAAACCACAACCAGAATATTGGCTAATGAGCTGATTCAGACGGTGCAAAATTTTCGCGGCACTTGTGATACCATAGTTGCACAGAATCGCCGGTTGGAAAATAACGTGGAAGATATACTGATCCTATTCAAAAATGCGTGAGTTTTCCGGTTGGCTTTCGCCTTGTAAACTCACGTGCAAAATTGTTAGGACAAACGACTGCTATTTTTGTTACGATTTTATTGTGCGGAGTCCAAATGTTCTGCAGTATCGACGAAGTAAGTTTGTCCACCCCCGTTCGGCTTCACCCGGTTCGCTCTGCAGGTCAGTGTTATAGTGCTCGCACGGGCGGAAATGCCTCGGCAATTTGTGACACAGTGGCCAACGGCGAATTGGAAACGGGGTTCGTCCAAGCGCGTGAAGACTATTCCGATTTCAACTGCAAAAGTATCTTGGAAGGGATCTATGCGTTTGATTACCGTATTGTGGGCAGTACCGGGCTGTGCAGTAGTCCGTTCAGTACAATCAAAGCATGCCAACGACAGGGCAGTCCGCTTCGGGATAATTCTGTGTTCGAACAGACATTTGGCTATTGCCCAAATTTTCAAGATGTCTCTATTTTGGAGGATCCGAATATTGTGTTCGGAAAGGCGAACATATGGCGATGTTACGGTCGATGGACCGATCGGGAAAATAATATTTGGGCTGCAATCGCGTACGATACGAACCAGTTGAAATTCAGATATCGATGCCTTACAACCCGAATCGATCAGCAAAATCCGTATGATTTATACTACTGGGGTAAGTGAATTGAAATTTTCTGACTTGCGGTGGGTTATATGTGTTGATTATTGTAAGACACTTACCGATTTGAGCGTGTATGCAACTTTTAAGTCCAGGCGAAGTAGTTGCCAGACGACTGAAATGAAACTTTGAAGATATCAGTACCACAAATAAATCTTTGAAAACCAAGATTTTTTAGAAGTTCCATCAGAGTCTTATCTCTGTCCGTAAGAATGTTATTCTCTGCGAAGTAACCAGAAGTTCTATCCGTATATTGAAACGAGGGTGATGGGCAATGAACAAATCAAGTTTGATGTTCAAAAGTAGCTTTCTGAAAGACTAGCATGCAGAGGACGAGTGTGGCGTGAAAAGAAAAATCTATCTGCAACTAAAATTATACAGATTCGCGAGCGTCCCACTGCCTTGCGAGTCAGTTTTCGGCTAACCGGAGTCTCCCGTCGCAAATCCCCCCGTGAGAATTCACTTGTTTTTGCCTAGGAAACTTGGTAGTATTCTGCCAAGTAGGAAACTATGGCCTTATTTTCTTGTTATAAAGACTTTTGTGCTCATGATTGGTTTGGCACATAGTCTTGACTCGGATCAATCTTTCACGGTAACCAACGAATTATAAAGTTGATAAGTTTGTCGATTGCTTAGATTTTTTCTTTCACAAGCGCCAGAACAAAAACACTGTTCAATTATTCAAAGCCAAAGGTTGAGCAACTGCTCTCTGGTTCCTATGATGTTATGCTAGTGTTATCCTATGCAAAACGTCATTGGTTGAATGCGATATTGCTTGGTGATTAGTCAATCGCGCAGTTAAGCATTGGTAAACGATAAGTGAGAAATACCTAGAAGTGGGTTTCGAATAAGGGGTGGGAAATAACGTTACATAGTCACGATATAGCACGTTATCATGTAAACAGTCAATTTTCGTTTAACTAATAAAGTGACTTGGTAGGCAGAAAATTGACGGCATAATTTGTTCTCTTCGTCAAATAATTAGTTTGATCGATAAGGATAGTCGAATAAAATGAAAAAGTCAACGATGAGGCTGTCAGTTCAGCATTGTTGTGATCCATTTTTATATGTACCCAACCATTTCCGCGTCGTAGGATTCTGTATCGCCTTGGATTGTTAAAATTTGGAACGGTTGCTTTGTTCCCGTACCGTTTTAGCGCGTCTCCTGCTGCTGGTGTGTGTATATATGCTAAAACACGATACTTTTTTGCCATTCATGTTTACCTCGACTGTCACCTTCTCATACCTCTAAATACAAATGTTCCTTTGTTTCTTTTCAGGTATGTCAATTGATTCCGACTGTAAGGTGATGCATAACTATCAGACTGCTCCAATTCGTCTGGAGCTGCATCCAGCATTCGATACCTCCACTCAACTGGTCGAACTTCAACCGGGTTGCAAGTTACCCACAAATTTCAGCGGAACATGGTTCTATCCTAGCGAATATCAGACATCGGTTAGTTTTTTCAGTCGTGAAGAATGAAACTTCGTGTTACTTTTGTTCATTTCACTCCTAATCTTCCAAAGGCGCTAACCTCCTTCGGTTAGGCTCGGACGCAGTACACAAAAGCGTTGGACCACCACTGTCGTGCTCCACGTTTTTACACGTATTGACGTTTTTATTCTTCTCGATTTTGCATCAAATCATTTTTCTCATTTATTGAGATCGTTTGCATGGATGTTTTTTCTGCATCTGTTCAAAGATTCAATGTGGTGTCTATGAAAGGGTGATCTTCATTCAAAATTACCGTGCCGCTCACCACTGAAATAACTTGCAAGCACATATCATGTGGTGATGATGTGCCTAAGCTGTCGAGTGGACGACCCTAGATAGCTAAAAATTGCTGGTATTTATTCAATCGAAAACACCTCCTCTGCCCGGGTTCGAATCTTTGTGGATTCGGTGTTTGTGCACTGCTGGCTGACAAAAGGGGATTGAACAGTTGTGCAGTGTTTTCAGGGTTATGTTTGAAGCAGTGATTGCCAACTTGGTTCGGCGTGTCACGCTCATAAACAACTGAAATCTTTCTTACACGTTCTTTATGAATTTTCCCGTTCGTTTTTCGCTAACTTAGTTCATGGCATTGGTTTTTCTTGTCTGAAACAGTGCATGAGGATCCAGATGAAACTCCTATAGTTTTACCAGGATCACAATACTTGTTTACGTCGGCGAGTGTTTTTCAAATTACAAAACACATTTAGTAACTTTCTAATCATTAGAATTCTCTGTGCTTAACAAATAATAAGTTCTTTTTTGATATTTCCCGTGTCTTCTTGTCGTTCCCATGGTCTGACGATCGTTCTCACCAAAACTATAAAACAATTCACTTTTCTTTTGTTCCACAGGTCGTCATCAATTCCACTCACATCTACATGAAACGCAAACGAGCCGAATATGTGTACGATCACATCTATTACGTTTGTCGTCAGCAACAGGAATCTCGCTATCTGATGGCCGTCGTTACATTGGGCAAATGGTGAGTGGGTTCACGTTCTGTTTTCCTCCCGCCAAATTAGTCAGTCCCTTGAATCCAGATAGTTCAGTTACTATCCTCGACGTGGCAATCCGTTGTTGATGCTTCTGCGTTCGATGTCCGATTACATCGGATTGTTTTGGGTGTGAGGTAAGAAGGAAGGGGCAATTGTTTTAGGCTCATGAGACCAGTACAGACGGCTGTATTAAAAAAACACAAAAAATAGATTGTTTCTCAATTTCATTTTTACACGATGACAATAAAGCGGTTTTTCTTGACCCGTCTTTGTTTTAGCTTTTACACTTCCTCAGTAGAAAGCGGTGATTGTATTTCACTATAAACCGGCCAGTGATAGCCACTGTTGTTGTTGTTGCGTTCTTTCTTCTCAACTCAAACGCATTCGGTACTCAGGCGATATGTGAAACCTCCAGATTGGCCGTAACTTGGATATTTACAATTATCCATCTTCACAGGGATGTTTTTTCTTCGTGAGGTCTAATAGCAATATGTTATTTAGATTGACTATATCTATTGGCTCAATAATACACCTGACAACTCTTATGAGGGTTACTGGTGATGGATTCCATTTTGAGCCGTGTGACTCTCCCTTCCACTGTTGGTCTCGCTGAGGCGTGTAATAACAATGTTTTATTAACAAGGGTAGCCGCTAATAATAATGCATTATATAAGTACTTCAGATGTTGGAAAATGACCACTATTCTTACTAAATAAGCTTCGTTAAGTCTCGTCCCTGTATTCCTATTTCAGTGAAACCGACTTCATGTGCTTTGATTTCATGCCACGTCATCACAACATCATACGTTTTCGCATGGGACGACCGTTTCCCTTGCTTCAACGGGAACGAGAATCCATGGGCGATAGTTATATGCAACGTCTTTATCGAGAAGCGTGTCACTGGAGTTCTTTCACCCTGAACTACATAGAGTGGACGTATGAATACTTTATCCAAGATCCCCCGGTACCGATCAATTGTCCAATTCAAGGAAAATACAAATTTATACAACGCGGGCAAGAACAGGAGAAATATCGAACATTGATTCCGGGTGGAGTGACTCCTAGACCATGGTTACAAGTGAGATTGTTTTTTGCCTTGACTTTTCAAGCTGATTTCTTGATGCTTCGTCATTTACTTCACATCTAACTCACAGTTACTTGTAATTAGTGGAGTGGGATATATGTTATGGATTTGAACTGACTATCAGTCAGACTGTATCTGTGTGCACACATCAAGTCAACCATGAACTAGGGAATCAATCAACTCGAGTTGCACTCCTGGCCTACTCGAACTGATCAAGTATCTGATCGGTATCCCCACGTTTGTTGAATTATTAAACTCTGCTTTTGATTCTTCAGTTGTCTCCATTGTCTTTTTCGATTTTATGCTTCTCTTCCTTGGAAAGTAGTTAGTAGTGTGTGAAATTTTGTCGACCATAGTTTACTGTCATTTGTATTTGTATAGACTTTTGCGAGAACAGAATGTTCGCACTTCAGTCAAAAATTTACACATCTCATCAATAGAAGGAAAGATACAAGTAACATATATAGCCTTTAAGGTTACTGAGAAATTCTGAGGAAGCGCGCTCTCGGTTTACAAGGATTCTGGCAAGATAGGGAACTGGGGAATTTCTGTAGAGACTAATGTGAGAGGGTAATAATCGATAAGAAGAACGTGTAGACGTATGAGAGCAACATTTAGATAAATCACCATGTAAAGGATGGTCGGGGTCAGCTAGGATTTTCTGGGCAAATGTTTCGCATGCGGACAAGTGAAGTTCACACAGTTTTTTAGATAGCTCATCAACGGGTATAAAAGACACACGACTGATGATCGACAAACTGCGACGAAGAATTTTGAAGTCTTTCTTTAGTAGACCAGCAAAAGCCACCGGAGAAAGAAGAACGGGGAAGTACATTGATAAAC